CCTTAGCTCCCAGTCAGCCATGTGATCACAAGGGAAACAACTGAGACTCTATAGCTCACTATCTTGCTAAGCAAGAATGTTTGGTAGGTTAGCAGTATTAAATGCATTTTCAACTTCCAATCTTCAACTTAAAATTGTGGGTATATAACTCTATTATAAGTTAAGGAACATCTGTAGAATACTGCTTATCTCTGTCATGATGATTGTCACTTCGTTTTTGTTGTTGTTGTTGTTACCAGGGATTGAACTCAGGGATTCTCGACCATGGACCCACATCCCCAGCCCTTTTTTATATTTTATTTAGAGACAGGTCTCACTGAGTTGCTTAGCGCCTCCCCGTTGCTGAGGGTGGCTTTGAACTCAAAATTCTCCTGTCTCAGCCTCCCAAGCCGCTGGGATTACAGGTGTGCACCATTATGCCCAGCTGTCACTTTGTTTTGAAATCGTCTCTTTACACATTTATTTTTTTCAACTAAGTTCCTTTGCTATAGAGTGTATGTGTTTTTATTAAATCTGACTAAATTGACTTTTATATTTTTTAAATTTAAAAAAATATATATTTTTTTGCAGTTGTAGATGGACAGCATGCCTTTATTTTATTTGCCTCATACATGCTAGGCTAGTGCTCTGCCACTAAGCAACAGCCCCAGACCCTAAATTGATTTTTAATCTTTGGTAAGTTCCACTAATGCCAAAAAATTTCCTGCACCAGGGTTTATGCAGCATTAGTTCTGCCTAGAATAATTTCCTACCTATATTCTCTTTATTTTCCATATGACACATGTTATACTTTCAAATTATTTAAAAATAATATAAATAGTAGCCAGGCATGGTGGAGTATGCCTATAATCTCAGTGGTTTGGGAGGCTGAGACAGGAGGATCGAGAGTTCAAAGCCAGCCTCAGGAAAAAAGTGAGGTGCTAAGCAACTCAGTAAGACCCTGTCTCTAAATAAAATACAAAATGGGGCTGCAGATGTGGCTTAGTGGTCAAGTGCCACTGAGTTCAATCCCTGGTATCTAATAATAATAATAATAATAAAGATAGTGGTTAACAACCCAGACACCAATGTCAGAGTGTCCAGTTTAAACACGCAAATAGGTGACCTTAGGCAATCTGCTCATTTTGTGTGTGTTTGTGTCAGTATGTGTATGCTCATGCAAAAAAACATGAATCAGTTCTTTATTTATTTTTGGTTTTTATTTTGTTCTTGAACTAAGGATTGAGTTCAGTGGTGCTTTACCACTAAGCTTTACGCAGGCCTTTTTATCTTTTGAGAGTTTTGCTAAATTGCTTAGAGTCTTGCTAAATTGCTGAAGCTAACCTTGAGTTTGTGATCCTTCTGTTTCAACTTACCAAGTTGTTGGGATTATAGGTATATGTCCCACCACCACACCTGGTTCAGTTTCCTTTTTTTTTTTTTTTTTTTTT